AACGTGCATGATATTGGTTACACATTAATACTGGCATGTGTATTTTCAAAGAATTAGATAAAGGCAAATGTTTCATACATCAGAACAATAATTTCATATGCAACGGTTTACCATAAATTCTTCATGTATTTAATCTCCCAGTATCCCTTTCCTCTCCCTTATCGTCTCTCGTCGCCTCTGCTTCATAATTTCTTTCTCTCTTCCCCTTAATCTTTCGGTAATATTTTATTATTTAAACATTTTTACTTAAATATGCATAATTACTAAGAAACCGCCCTCTAGAAATATTTTAGCTTATTCTTATGCAGTTTCAATCGATTTCATCAGCAACACTAATTGGTAAGGAAATGACAAAATAATACCTTCATCGAAAATCAAAGTACATTCTGTAGATCGATGTAAGATTCAAATTGCCAATTCTATTCACCAGAACTTATTTTTATATATAAAAAGAAGCATATCGGAAACATGGCAAAGGTAACAAAACTGTATTTCCTACTTCCACATATTTCATAAAAGAAAATAAAGCGGTAGCAAAACTGTGCATGATTTCCTTGAAAAGAGAGTCGCATTAGGAACAGGTGTACAAATTTTAAATCACGGAACAAAGGTTTTTGTGTATTTAGAAGAAAACTCACATTGCAAGTGTCCATATAGAGTCACCATGTCTTCATGAAGGGAAATTAATGTTCACCGCAGAGCAAGTCTGTTAGGAATTTCTTTTTAATATTGTTCAGCTTTTCTTAAATATTTGATCTTATCACACAATTTTAATAAAATAAAAGCTGCAGTACGCTGAAGATTCTTTCATTCATCATGATCTCTTTAAGATTTCTGTTGTTAGCAGGTCTTATTAGCATGACAGTGTCACAAGGAGGTGGAGGTCCACGAGCAAGTGGAGGTCCTGGGCCACCTCCACGAGGTGGCCCACCCCCAGGTGGTCCCGGAGGTCCACCACCAGGGGGTCCCGGGGGTCCACCTCCAGGGGGTCCCGGAGGTCCACCACCCGGTGGTCCCGGAGGCCCACCACCAGCTGGTCCTGATGGGCCCTGCGGACCAGGAGGGCCAGGAGACTGTTTCATGTCTCCGGCATGCAAAAACTTCAGCAGAGCTATACAAGACGAAATGCGAGGTAAGAATTTTTCTTCAATTTAAAATAAAATTTGAATTTATTTGAGTCCTGAAACTCAAAACTCATAATAGTAAATGTATATTTGTATAATAGTAAGTTAGTGCAGAGCTTAATTTCTAAGATTAGAAGAGTACCGGCCCTATGGAGCCGTCAGCAAAAAGAACAAGAGTGATGAATTTTGAATTTATTAGTGTCTAGTGGTATTGATCAGTAACTTTTTTAACAATAAAAGCAAATTAACTTACTTTTATATACTTTTCCCTGCTGATTTCGATTTCATTCAGAATTCTTCTTAAGATTTCGATTCAGATATTGGTAACTGAACTTTTCCCTGATACTGTTATTTTATTAATTCTATGGTAAAATTTTTCGGAACCAGGAAAAAGGAATTATTCAAATTCTCAATCTTCTGATTGTCAACCGAACGTGATAACAACTACCCCACGAAAGCAAGAAGACTAAATTTCCTTGCACTTTTATGACATAAGTCATATTAGCTGCTTTTTCTCGATCCTAATATGCATTGATGCTGATCGCGACCCTAATATGCTCTTCATTCATCGTGTTTATGATTTTAATGTGGTTTTAATTTATCAAAAATTTGAATTCCGGTTGCAGAGACTTTAGGTTAATTCAAAGGAGAGATGAAAAATGAGCAACGCCTTCACCGAGACTCGAACCATGGACCTCTCGAATACGCGCCGAGCGGGCTGGCCACTACACTACGAAGGCATGCCAAGAAGGCGGGAAAACTACCTTATATACTCCCCGTTTTAAAGAGCGACTGGGTTTTAGAGGACCCAATCGCCAAATCCTGCTGGTGAAGAGTCATCATTGATCACCTTTTTTTAAGTTCGGGCTCCACTGTAGAGACATTAGAGAGATAAAAAAAGGAGCAAAGTCTTCGCCGGAACTCAAACCACGGACCTCTCGAATACGCTCCGAGCGTGCTGACCACTACACTACGAAGGCATGCTAAGAAGTCGTGAGTCTATTTAATTATGACCACCATCATAATAATAAAGCCCACCAGCGGCCCAAGCGGAAAGTCGCTGAACACTGGTAGTTCGGTCCGAGGTTCGAATCCCGCGAACGGGCTGGCTGCATGGGCGTTTTCGTGGTTTTCCCCATGTGTAACGTGTATACGAGCCAGTTTCCCTTAGAAAGTCCTCCACGAAAGGCATCCCTCCCCTTAGGCAGATAGCCCTAGGTGCTTTGCCATAATAAATACCACATAATTAAATAAACTCCCCGCCTTTTTAGCATGCCTTCTTAGCATTTACATTAGGCACGGAGGCATACCTTATATAAGGTATTGCCATCAAGATTAAAGGAGGAATCTCTTTGAATAAAGCACGGAATTGTGTAATTTTGTCAGAGAGAGCGAGATTTCGGAAACGTCTGATTTTATACTCTGCAGTACGAGGCTGATTCATTACCTGAAGCTTTTTGGCAGCAGCACAATTCTGAGCAAAGAAGATTATTCATAGACTCCTTAAAAGCAAACTTAAAGATAGACCATACTTCATAAATGAAATGACGGTCTGTAAGAATACCACTTGCTTGTACTATGCATAATAAATGAAGCATATCGTTGGGTTCGTAATAGATTAAATATACACAGGTTTGATGATAGGTTGTAGAGTCATTAGGTTAATTGGAAGCAGAAAAGATGAAAATTATGCAACCCTCTTCGCTGGGAATCGAACCACGGACCTCTGGAACCGGCCCAGCGTGCTACCGTTACACCACGAAGGCACGCTAGGGAAGTGGGAGAAATACTTTATAAGGTTAATAAAATTTATTTTACCAAAAGAAGCACTTCAAAGTTCTGGAATTTTCCACAGAAATGCTCGTACAAGTGTTCACAGTATCACAGAGTATAATCAGTTGTTACGCTTCAAACTATTAAGAACGTTAAACACAGCGCAATACAAAGTGCATCTAAAGAGAAAGCTAACCGCGAGATATCTCAATACTCTTATATCACGCTAAAGTAACAACTCACAACAATAGCAACAACTGAGAAAAGATACTCTTTCCGGCCTTACATAGTTTTCACGTGGTCACCGAGATATTTCTAGTAATTTCTGCTTCTCGAAATTACTGTAAGGCATATGAAAGTCGCTTTACCGTTACAGCTGATATTGTGATCAATCACATTTATTCAGTTGCAACATCTATTACGGTGATACAGGGACTGGACCATAATGTTATCAAATGGTCGCCAAATTTGGCGACTGCTAACGATTTCTCGCCAAATTACCCAGATACACAACTACTCAATGTTAAATGGACTTGCGCCTGTATTCTTTTTTTCCCGCATATCTTGTCTCTTTAAATTTTTTTCGCGTTACATTGCACAGAAAAATACAGCAATTTCACATATAATTACACTAAAATTATCTATCTATGCACAAATTCGTAACAATATGAAACTGCTCCTTCAGCAGTGTTAATTGTTAGAAACGGAATGAAAAATGGTAACTTTACTTCTTAGGATACATCACAAAGACACGAAATGTTCCTGTTCTTTGTGCGAGTGGCGTAGTAAGAATATAACTCGATCCCGTAATCGATGCGGTCTAATCACGTAACAATCTCTGTGAGGCACTTTCTAAATGCCAACGAAACGTTGCCCTAACAGCAATCAACTTACGCAAGCATCGATTAAAACCAACGAACTTTTATTTCATCATTCCTGTTGCGTTACAACTAAAGAGAGGATTACCAACTAAAGGTTAGATTACCTATCGACAATAACCTATAACAATCGGGCGACCTATCTCTTTACAGGTGTATCAATAACGAAAGTTAAAACCCCTAAATAAGACTCTTACCTGACTTGATTCTTATCTAGCCAATTATACGAGTAAAAGGGATTCACTTACCATTTAGGTTGATACAGGAACTTAATGTGGCATGGCATGACCGCAAAGCTGCTTCCTTTCCAAACATATGAAACTGAATAGGCGCGAAGAATCCCCGAGAGCTAAACATTATGAATTACAATTAACTAAACTTCTTACGCATGCTTTTCATATATATATAACCGCCCGGTCTCTGTTAAAATTTGTCTGAAGTGTGATCTGTTGGAAAGAAAACGAGGAATATGATAAAATTTGAGGCTTAAAAGCGAGACAACTAAACAAATTAATTTCATGAATTAAAAATGCAGTTTTTGAGTCTTCAGCCTACATTCTCAGAAAGGGCACTTTTACCTCAACACATTAAACTGAGATTAATGAAACTCTATACAAAAGCATGAATAGAGAGGAAAAGGTTTTCGTTTTCCAAAAAACCCAGTTCCATAATTAATGAAAATAACATGAAAGGGAAAGCAAAGTCTTTAGAACAAAATTAAAGTTTAATTTCAACCCTTTCCGGCACGCTACCTTTTAAAGTCGGAGTTTTGATTAAAAAAAAAAAAAAAAAGTAGGCAGTCTAATTAGGCCTAGAGGAGTACACAAGTAAAATTTTTGTGAAGAGCACTTATCGTTTTGTGGGTGTGCCAAAGTGGGCACACTGATTGAATAGAGCTTCTAAAAGAGTGCTGACGAGCATTTGTCAATGAACTGCGATGAGATGCGAAGAAAACAAAGAATGCGACTCTCATTGTTCTAGATTATCGGTGCCCGATCTGGGCACCTAGGGTTCGCCGTTTGATTTTAGGCAAGATTTCAAGCTAAAAATTTGAAACTAATATAGAATAAAGAGATTAGCATACAGCCAAAAATAACATAGAAATTTATTTTCAAACAATTCCTTTATACCCTAAAAATCTGGAAGATTTCATTGAAAAATGGGGTCTTAAAAAACTAGCTAAAATATATGGACTGGTTGTGTTGAGCAACCATAAATAAAGAAGGTTCAGAGCAGCCTATAGTACCTATAAATCCTTTCTCATTCAATTTTTCTGTGCGTACATAAGGAAATTTAGGTGATCCAAAGCGGACAAATGTGCCGCAAAGGTAAGCAAGTTAAATTAAAAAGTACTTAAACAACTAAAAACAAAGTTGTTTTTTTTTTTTTTTTTTTTTATAATAGTCCAAAGGAGCTTGTCCTGAGGGACTTGTTTCGTTTTGCGATTTGCGTCGAAACATTATAAATGGCTCTATCACTTTCAAAACTGTTCGCACCCAACACCCAATATTATCCCCCTGTATTATATTTGAGAATTAAATAATGAAGAATCTGCATAAATGTAGTATGTTTCTCGCATTGTGATAAAATAACGGTACCTAGAGCGATCGAATTGTGAATGACGTAAGCCTCCAACGAATTGGGCATGTGGAAGACCAAAATTTGAATTTGAATTTTTTATATCGATTCATATTTGTAAACTTTAGCGAATTTCTGATACACAAACTGAAGGATTTCAAAGCGAGCAATGGTGGTGGAGACAAAAACATTTTGTCTGTGCGTGTGACTGTGTACGAAAATTCTAAAGATATATTTCTAAGATATCTAAGATAAAGATTTAAAGAGATAAAATAATTGTAAAATATTTTGCGATATTGCTCTTGAACTGAATTTTATGGTTTAAGTGCGAAGAACATGATATTTAATAAATAAAGGTAACACACAAAATGTTAAAAAAACGCCTCTTTGGACGTAATTTAAAATCTGAAACCTTCCATTTTTTTTTTTTTTTTTTTTTTTTTTTTAGCTCAACGGGGGCCGTTAGTGTTCAGAAGGACTATTATTCACGAGAGGGCATTCTTGCGTAGAATCTCTAAAAGCGTTGTATCACTTTTCAAATTGTTTCCACCAAATATAATTGCTTTGTATTATATTTAAAGAAATTAATTAATGAAGAATCCGCATGAATGATTATTTAATGAAGAATCCGCATGAATGTATCTATGTGGTTAGTGAATCTGACTGCCATACGGAAGGTCCCCAATTCGAATCTGGTAGATTGCATTACATGGATGCTTGTAAATGTACAAATTCCGTACTGTATGCGGATCCGAAATTTCTTCCGAGAGGTTGTGTGGTAGGGAATAAGGGGCAGCAGACCCTTGGACAAGTCTCCCTGGGGTTCTTTCTCAAATTTGGGGCGGAACTGAACTAATGGTAGGCTGTCCTGTATATGGTGCTCAAGGTTCTTGCCAACGACAGAAGCATCTGACTGCTTGCCACGATGAATGTCGCGGGCGTGTGTTGACTATTGTCAGACGACAACAACAAGGTTCTCTGTTCGAGTAACGAATAATGCTGCAATTGGATAATTACATTTTTTTAAACTCGTGCTCTTAACTCATACTCGTTCATCTGAAAGAAGTGTGACGGGATAGTCAAGACTGAGAAAAAAATGCAATCGCAGTACAAAATTAATTTTTTAAATAATCTGTTAGCTTATTAATATTCTTGGGTAAAGATTCGCTGCACGAAAACTATTTTTAAAATAATCGGCTTACCAAAAAGCTTACCAAAGTTCTTGAGTAAAGATTAGTAACTTAGTTTTTCACATTCTACTCACCTGAGAATCGACATACAAACATCGAACCAAGCGTTAAATCACTTAACTAGTTCGTTACATACAATCTGAATAGTGAGATAGCATTTTTATCAAGTGCAAACTGCAACTATTACATACTTAATATGTCTCTCAGTAAGCTTCGAGGTATATCGCTCATATAGCGAGTTTCTAATGTATTCTATTCCAACTTGTACCCTCCCCCCCCAAAAAAAAAATAAAATCCCGAGGAAAGTAAGTCACAGAAACGGAAATCTTTGCTTTCCATTTCCTTACTTTGAGGACACGCTACACATTTGGAAATATTTGCTCGCTTAATATAAATTAAAATATTGTTACGTGAGTTTTCGAAAAGGAACACTTTATAGTTCTGGAAATTTTCACAAAAGTACTCGTACAGCTCTTCTCATTGTGACAGAACGCAATCAGTAGTTACCACTTCAAACTATTAATGAAGTTAATCAGAATCCAAAGCACATCAAAACACCAAAGCTCGCACGGAGATCTCTCCATACTGTGAATTCAATTCTGAACTAAAAATTGAGAGCTGATGCTCTCTCCGATTTTACATAGTTTTCCCCCGGCCACCGAGAAATCTCTAGTACCTTCATTTCTCGAAATTACTGGAAGGCATATATAGTAAAAGTACACATAAAGGCCGGATACGATTACAATTACATACAGTGATCAGTTGCAAATATTCAATTACAGTAGCAGTTATAGTTATATAGGGAGCGGACCCGGTTGTCGCCAATGGTAGCCAAGTTTGCCGACTTCTGACGATTTCTCACCAAATTTGGCTATAAAAATTAGTCTCCAAAGCCATCATCAGCTTGGCGATATAGTCATTTACTTCAGTGTTAAACAGACTTGCTTCTATAACCTTATTTTTCTGGCAGAGCTTCGCCTTTTTCAAGCATTTCATGTTGCATTATACAAAAGATACTGTTGCGCGCTTACAGGTTCGTAATAGATTGAATGCACAAGTCAACTAAGAGGTTAATAAAATTTATTTTTTTATCAAAAGAAATATTTCAGAACTCTACAATTGTTCGCAAATATTTGTACAAGTGTACAGTATCACACAGTATAATCAGTAGTTTCACTAATAACGTTAAACACAACTAAAACTACTAAGAACGTTAAACACAACGCAATGCAAAGGCATCTAAAGAGAAAGCTAATCCGATCTCGTGCTGAACTCGTAACAATAACCACAGCAGCTAACTAAACAAATGAAAGCAGATGTTCTCTCTTAAAAAGTTTTTACCCGGCCACGAGATATTTCTAGTACTTTCTGCTTCTCGAAATAACTGGTAATACGAAGGTGGAATAACGGTTACAGCTGTCAATTACATTTATTGTAATTACATAGTTGTCAATTACATTTATTACAATACTTATTACGGTGATACAGGTGACAGGTGACGGAGGACGGGGACGCCTGAAGTTTAACAGAGATTAACAGGCATATGTCCGCATCCTCCCCTGGAGTTTATTTAATAGTATAAGTGCTTACGGTGAGACAGAGAGCTGTCAAAAATATTAAAAACGGTCGCCAAATTGGCGATTTCACCAAATTTGCGTTAAAATAATTCGTTAAATAAGGCTCCAAAAAGTCGCCAATTACTGAGACCATTCAATGTTATATGCACTTCCCCTGTTATTACTTTTTGGCATTGTTTTTTTTTTTTTTTTTTTTTTTTTTTTTTTTTCCCCTAGCGCTAAATTACACAGAAAAATACAACAATTTTAAATTACCTATCTATGTACAAAATTCGTAACACTACTACAGTTTCACATATAATTTCACTAAAAGTATTTACATATGTACAAAATTCGTAGCATCATTAAATTACTGCTTTTTAAAGAGAGTGTCGAACCTCGATAATGTCTACTTCAAAGTTTTTATTTTAAAAAAAAAACTGTTGTTTTTGCTGTGAACTGAGTCAAAGAGTAGCAGTTCGGCTGCACTTGGTATTACATTTTATGCATTTAAACATAAATAGCTGATAGTGACAATTCAATAAATGACATGAAGGAAACAGAAGGAGAAACAGGTGAGTATAACATGAGACAAATGCATGGAAAAGAATTCAGAGCAAGTTCGGTTTTTCCAGTTTGCTAGAGAATGAGACATTTCGCATTATATATAATGTCTGCTACACACACCTCATTTTGTGCCCTTAGTTACTTACATTTTTATGTTAAAATATTTTTTATTAACTACCGGAGAACATATTAATCTAATTTTTGCAGTTTTAAAGTTTTCATTTTATCTCCTTACGTGATATATCTGATTTTCTCTGTCATTAGGCAGTGTGAGAGTTCATGATAGATCAGACACATCCGCCTGATTCTCAGTTATACCTTCTTTGGTAGGATTTTTATTTGTAGGGAGAGTCTTGGCATTTCTTCATATTTTCTAATGAAATCAATCCAAATTTTCTAAATATCGATTAATGGGATAATATTGGCAGATTTTCCTTGTTGCTATTTAATTTTTGAGTAGTTCTGTGACGTATAATATATTAGAGTATCAAAGGAATGGTATTTCTAATTTCAGGGATACCCAAAGTTGGTTTAAGAGTTTCAAAGATTACATATGTGAAATTTCACATAAGGTAATGTTTTTACTTCGTAGAGTCGTCTTTAAAGTTCTGTTTACTTTTAGCATATGCAGAATATTATATAATCTGACCATCTATCAGTTTCGAAAAACAAAAATTCTAAATACTTCTACAGGGCAGCCTTAGCCCAACTTTAAATCAAAGTGTATAATAATTTGGATGAAACAAATTTAATTCGTCCACTTAATTCAAATTACAAAGCAGTTATTAATTTTAATTTAATTTTCACTTAATTCAAAATTACAAAGCATTTATTAATTTCAATATGTACAACATTTAAACACAAAATCTTCCAAATTAGTGTCATTCCAGCGCTATTTTCAGTGTTTTCTAATTTTCGCCACACTGTACGGTAAATCTTTACTTTGCTGATCTAGTGGGCGTAGCGATTATTGTTGCTGGTTGCCGTATTCGGCCTGGGCTCGAATCTGGGATACGGTTTGTATATATATATATGAACGTACTGTGTTTCTGTGGCATCTAGGCTCTTAAAATACAAGGCCAGCCGAAAGACTTTTCGAGTTGGTGGTGGTAGGGGAAGAGGAGTGGAATACCATTGGATCCCTTAGTAAATGTAGCATACTACAGATATGTGTTCCATTACCTACACTGGTGTGCAAAAATTAAGGACGAAGTCGAAAAGTTAGCATATCAGCTGAACGAAGAGGCAAAGCGGACAGAAAGACCAGTCAGGAGATTAAGTAAGGTGATGTACGGTAGCACATGCACAGATATGCAGGTAGACGTAATGGGGGAGTGTCTGAGTAGTATAAAGCATGTTGTTGGTGTAAGATCAGTATTTCTGGCAAGAGATTGCACGCCGTTATAGCAGTTAAAATCACACCGAGTTGCTGCCTCAGCGAGAAATGGCGAATAATCAATCTGTTAGACGACATATGGATGCTTTTACCCGAGGTCGAATCATTGGAAGTTGGAGGAAGGCCGCAGTGTGACAAGTGTGGCTGCAGAGTTCGGAATGCTCACAGCATCGTTTCACGACTTTGGAGACAATTTCAAACTACAGGAACAGCTATCCGGGGGGTTAGTACTGGTCGTCCACGAGGAACCACACCCGCAGATGACCGTATATTGCCTTACAGGCCAGAAGAAACAGGCGGCAGACAGCGGGAGAAATCGCTAGACATACGACACAGGCGACTGGACGACCGATATCGCGTTTTACCGTGGCCAGAAGACTGCACGGTGGTGGTCTGTTTGCACGACGCCCTGTACGGTGTGTACCTCTAACGCCTGCCCATCGGAGAAGGCGTTCTCTGTGGTGCCGGGAACACCGGAATTGGAGAGACAATGAATGGAGACAAGTACTCTTTACAGATGAGAGCAGATTCAGTCTGAGTAGCAAATCTCATCGCATACTCATCTGGATATGTGCGTCTTTTTAGAGGCGCTATGGGTCCGCAGTTCCTTTTCATGGACGACAATGCACCATGTCATCGCACAGTAGCTGCCGAACAGATCTTAGAGAGTGAGGATATTGAACGTACGGGATTGGCCGGCACGACTCCGGATCTCAATCTCATCGAGCATGTATGGGATTTTCTAGGCAGACGCTTGGCAGCTCGTACCTTACCACCAGTAACGATTCCGGAGCTTCGATTGGCGCTGCAAGACTAATGGGCACAATGCCTCAACAACTCATTGACACCCTATTTCAGCACGGGCAGACGCTGTGCAACCTGCCTAGCAGTCAGGGGAGATCATATCCCTATTAAAGACCGGATGTTCTTGCTGGACACCCATCACAGGGATGTTTCAGCCTTCAGTCGCATTGCGCTCCATGCTACTTTTTCAATAAAGCTTCTTTTTATCCCTCTGATTTCTCTTTTAGTAAGTGTTGCTTACATTAGTCATGTCCTTACGTATTGGAGATCTTACGGTATTAAATGTGTTGATTTGGAAAGCTTTTGTACAAAGTTATATTGAAAAAACCGTCTCGTCCTTAATTTTTGCACACCAGTGTATATTGTATAGCTACGGTGTCAACTTACTTGTATGCACATGTATAACTTTCCTGGAAACAAAAAAATGACCCTGGCAGTGACTCGACTTCCTCTAGATGACACCAAATTCTGTTAGGTTCAAATCCATTGTCAGAAGTCATTCTGACGGAAATAAACAAATTAATTAGAAGACTTAAATTGAGACTGAAAATTAAAGTTAGATTTTTTTTTTTTTTTTTTTTTTTTTTAGTCCAAAGGGACTTGAGTCCCGAAGGACTATTACTTTCGTTTTGGCATTTTGCGTCGGACGGATCATAAATGTCGGTTCACTTTTCAAACTGTTGCCATAAAATGTTAGAGTCCTGCATTATATTTGAAGAAATTAAATAATGAAAATCTGCGTAAATGTATGTATATTTCTCACATTGTCATAAAATAACGGTACATAGAGTCATCGAATTTTGAATAACGTAATCCTCCAACGAATATGAGCATGTGGAAGACCAAATTTGAAATTTGAAATTTGTTTTATGATCGATTTCCTATTTTTTAAAAACTTTGACGAATTTTTGATTAACAAACTCAAGGATTTCAAAGCGAGCAATGGCAACGTTGTGCAGAAAAAATATTTTTATCTCCAGCGCGTGAGTCTCTGTATCGGAAATTCTAAAGATATGCTCGTTTTTAAAACTATTTTGCGATATTGCTGTTGCACTGGATCTTATGGTTTAAGTGCGAGGAACATGATATTTAATAAAGAAAGGTAACACACAAAATGTTAAAAAACGCCCCTTTGGACGTAATTTAAAATCTGAAACATTTCAGATTTTTTTGTTTTTTTTTTTTTTTTTTTTTTTTTTTTTTTTTTTTTTTTAAATTTTATTCAGTATTTACAAGAGGTATTCAAAGAAAAAAGCTTGCAGACAGAAAAGCTAATAAAAAAAGAGCTATTAAAGCATTAGAAAGTGAAGAAGAATTTCTAAACAAAAATAACTAAAATATTCAATGAATTTTTAAAAATATAAAAATTATGAATTAGAAAAATTTATCAAGGGCTAGTTCAAATAATAATCTGCTGAGTATGAATTTATAGGCTCAGTTTGAAGATCTTAAGAATTCAAATTCTTTCTTGAATATCATAAATCTGACCTAAATAGTTCAAGTTCATTATCAAATTTTCCTGCAAATTGTAGGCTAATTTTTTAAATATTTGGATTGAATATTGTTACATAATCTCCTCTGCGATGTTTTTCTTATAATTCTTTCATCAAATTCTCATATTCAGTAATGAAACATAAAAACTCTCATGTACCTGACTTTTTTTTTTCCCCTCAATGATGGTCGGAGGAGCTGGTTAGATTTCGTATGAAACTGGACACAATGCAGAGAGTTTGGTTATTAATGTTTACGAGATGTTTCAAAATGACCTCTACTGAGCTTGTTTGTATCCTGCCCGGTGTACCCCCTCTCTCCAAATTATTTTTTTTTTATTATGATCAATTTCGTTTAAGAACAGGAAATATTGATTTTAAATTACATGGAGATTATATTGCAATACGGTATGCTTTTGAAAAAAATAATTTAAATTTGATTCACCATACTGAAAGAACTTTTATTCCGTATTATTTGACGCTCCAAAAATAGGAGAAAGTGACATTTATACAGACGGGACAGGTCTGGAAGACGCCATTGCTTTCGCATATGTTATGTATTTTTATGGAACAGAGCTAGAGAATAATAAATTTTAAACTCAATATTTATAGCTCAGTTTATCAAGAGGAAGCTATGGCTATTTTTTATTCACTGAAATGGATTAAGAAGAATCCTAAAGGGAAATATGATATACATATTTATTTCTGACAGCCTGTCAGTTCTTCAAACTCTCTTTCATCAAGACAATCCTTTAATAGTAGATATTAAAGAATTGTATAAAGAATTGAGAGAAGGTGAAAATATTGTGTTTAATTGGGTGAAGGCACACGTTGGACATTTTGGAAATGAGAGGGCAGTCGCACTGGCCAAGGAGGCAACTGCCGATGTTAATGCTCCTGACATTGATGTACAGAGATCAACAAGGAAAGCTGCGACTATTATGAAAAATTATATTTATGATAAATGGAAGGGAGAGTGAGAAAGATCTGATCGAAATAAAGGTTATATGAAATTTGTTAAACTTAAAAAAGATTTATGTTATTCAGACATTGACGTTAACCAAATCATTACAGGTCATGGCCGTTTTCCTTTCTATTTTAAAAGGTTTAAATTACAAGAATCTGACCTCCGTGATATTTGTAAAGAACCGGGCACTGTGGAACATTATGTGGAAACATGTAAATGTTTTACTGATATCAGGGATGAGTTTAAGAAAAATGATGGTTTTAATATATATGATATTTTAAATGATTTTAAAAGACTGAAAAAATTTGGCTGGAAAATGATGGAGAAGATTAATCATGATAGGGTTGCAAATGAGATTTTAATTTTAATTTTGTTTTTATGTTTCTTTTTGTGTATATGGCGGTGTGTTGCATAATTGTAATTTTATGTAACTTCTCTCTCACTCTCTCTCTCTCTTTTTTTTTTTTTTTAAGTTGGTTATAATTAACTTAGTTATTTTTAATCTTGGTTCTTTTTATTTTCTCTTCTTTTTCCTGTTGCCCTGTTAATTCGGCAAATAAGAAATGATTATCATAGTATATATTGTCGAATGTATTTGTATTACTTTCCTTGGTTGCCTTTTATTAACCATCTTCATGTCTTTTGTTTTATTGGAGGTGTTGTTTCTGGCTTGCTCTGGCACAGCCCCCAAAAAGCCCACGGGGCGACGTGAAGTCTGCCAGGAGGGTCGGGCTGCGACCCTCATATCTCATCTCTCCAATGGTGGGCACTTGCCTATAACGGCATTGGCCACTACTAAGGCCAGAAGTGGTGGTCATTTTATTGTGGAGATAACCTAACAGGCCGCCACCGCTACTTTCTATGAAGGGACAAACAATTTTTCATCCATGCCTTACCCGGAATTCGAACCCAGGATCTTCGGTATTGCAATCAGGTTAACCACTATACCGTCTGGGCGGCTATGGTACTTGAATTAGATCCTGAAACCTCCATACTTCTCTAAAAACAAACATTCAAATATGAAAGTGGTCATGTCCAATTACTTCCCTGTACAAAGTAAAGGAAGTATTGTATTGTAATCAAGAAAAATTTCAGGCATCATATTTCAACAAAAATATCCATTTTGACCGCTCTCGAATCCATTTGAACTACGTTTTTGCCTGATATGTGTACGAACGGACAGAATAAAGGACTTTTTTTTTTTTTTTTTTTTTTCCAAAACGGATTGTAAAATGGATTTAAAATCGATACAGAAGAGATTGTTGTGGCACTTGTGTACGTACGTATGTGCGTATGAAGGTTTCTCGCATAACTCAAAAACGAGTAGCCTCAGAATGTGAAAATTTTGCAAAAGGAATTGCTACAATATGTAGTTGTGCACCTTCCTTTATAGTCGCGATAAGCCCCACCAAATGTATATAAATATGTATGTATATATAAATACCCACTCTGTTACATGGCTTGGTGAGGTAAGAAATTTTTATTCTTACATGTTGGTAAATTGTGCATTATTTTGCTTTAAAAGTGATTGAATTATGTTGATCGTATGTTCCGGTTGAGGATATTATGCCTTTAGTTAATCTGCATGCAACAGTTGTAGAATTATCAACAATTTAAAAGTTAATTCAGAATTCAAACAACAAAAATCAGCGTTATATTTACGAAACTTTCACAGGACTAGTTTCGATGGTTTTACCGAACGACCATCCTCAGCTGCAAAACCGCAAATGAACAAGATAGGAAATAATAATTAGATAAGATAAGAAAGCCTGGAAAAAAATAAGCAAGTGGCGCCATCTGTCGGTGAAACCAGAACTAAAACATAATTTCTTTAAAGGCCGAAGGCAAATTTGGATTGGAATTAGGATCGTTAACTAGAACAGAAAGATTTTTATGAATGTGAAATGCCTCTAAAAAATCCAGTTCTCCAATGGAAGATGTTTTTTGAATAATTTTGGTAGCAGAAAAATTGATAGTGTGATTTTCGGACCAACAATGTTGAGCAACAGAAGACTTCTGTGTTTCCTTTTTTCTAACATATGCCTCATGTTCCTTGACGCGAAATTTTAAGGCTCTCCTAGTTTGGCCAATGTAAATTAAATCACACTGGCAAGGAATCCTATAAATGCCCCAGGAATTCATATCCGGAATGGGGTCCTTGTGTATGGAACTCGGAAATTTATTGATGGGAGAATAGACAACCCGAAAGTTTAATTTCTACAAAATATGTGCAACTTTATAGCTAATTGATGGAAAGAAGGGAGTGACAACAGAATTTTTATAATCTCCTAAAACAAGAGTGTGTTATTGTGTGTTATTCGGCGTGTTATTGTGTCTCAATTTAAAAATTGTTTAAATGGTACTAATCCTAACGAGGCCACCGTTTATTTAAATTTGAAACTTAATAGTGAAATAAGTCAGTTTCTACACCAATTTCAGTGTGTGTTTGAGATGAAAAGCTATTTTTCAACTTGGTGCACTAATCGTACTGTATTCTTCGGATACAGTTATTCATAATATAATTGTAGCGCTCGTTAATCATAATTTCAAATTACTTTTTATACATTTCCCTTTTTAATTACATTGCCGATATTCAATTTTCAGTCCAAACGGACGTTAGGCCAGAAGGGCTGTTAGTCTCGAAACAGCCTTTTACGTCGAATTACTAAAGACGTTGAATCACTTTTCATATTGTTGCCACCAAATATTATCGCCCTGCATTATATTAAAAATAAATAATAAAGAATCTGCATGAATTTATGTATGTTTCTCGCATTATGAAAGAACAAGGTGTACCTAGAGCCATCAAATTTTGAATTATGAAAAAACAACGGTACCTAGAGCCATCAAATTTTCAATAACCACGGGCACCTGGAAACCCGAATTTGGAATTTGTTTTAATATCTGTTTCATATTTTATGAAACTCTAACTAACTTTTGATAAAAATTTCTAAAATTTCACAGCGAGCAGTGACAACACTGTAGTAAATAAAACATCTTTATCCCCAGTGCGAGACTATTGGAAATTCAAAAGATATGTTGTTTTGGGCGTTAGCCGGTATGCTCTTGAAACGTGTATGTGTGTGTAAAGGGAAAAAATGCCCCTTTGGGCGTAATAAATCTAAAAGCTTTCAGTTTTTTTTTTTATTAAAATTATTTTATTACAATTATTAAATTTCGTAAGTAAATACTTTTTTGTTTTCATTATAAAAGTATTCAGTATTACAATTTTAAATATTTTTTATATTAACTCTTTCGCCGTTCTCTCCTGTCCGCTAAAATTTCCCCCGGCGGCCGTCTGTTTTTCGTAGCGTGTAATGTTGTTTTCTCTGTACATATTCCCATGCGTAACTTTCGTAGTGGATGAATATAAATGGAATATTAAGTAAAATAATAAGGAAATAAAAGCATAATGGAAAAGTAATAATATTTCTGCTTATTTCCAAAAGCAGGATTAATTTGGATAACATCTGATCCAGGTCGGTCCACATCTCGCATTTTGTTTTTGTAATCTTTTACAATTATTGGTTTTTTTACAGTCTTTTCCGTGTTTCAAGCATCAAGTCATAGACTATACTCATTAAACGTACATCCTTCAAACTTGTCTTTCTTTCAATTCACAACCTCATTTTTTTCTTTTTTTCTGCTCAGTAGACGTTGAAGACCTCTCACTGTCTTGCATCTTACGTAAAATGGCGCGTATATTCATAAAACCGGGTGGAGGGAATTCAATTAGAAATAGAATGCCTGATTAGTACTGCCCTCTATGACGTATTAGAATAAGCAAAAATAAAAACTCAAACAAATAAACATTTAGAAAGCGTTTTAAACGTTTAAAAGTTTTAAAATGTAGAAGAACGCTTGAGGCGCGTTACGGCCGCCCTGCAGAAGTTTAACTTGAACATGCTAGACGCGTTACGGACGTCGAAGAGATTAATATAAATAAGCGTAATTATTATATCATTTTCTTCACTACTAAAAATTAAGCTATTGTTATTGATGCTCCAGATTTATATCACTCTCAAAATAATTCAAAAAATTTTAACAATAACTCAAAAGTATAATTATTGCCACATTAAACTGTGAACTGTTAGAAACTGTTAGAAGTGAACTGTTAGAAAATCTTTAATGTTCGTGCTGAATATTTATTGAAAAATTCTGAAATATAAATTCTAATATTATAAAGTTTTATTTAATAATAAGTTTCAGTAATCTGATTTATCTAAAGGATTCGTTAAATTCTGAAATTAATTACTTTATTTATTCGACTTTGATACTAAAAATTCAGCTTTTAATATCATAAAATTTTAATTTGACATCATTTCCATAAAAAAGCAGTACATATTTAAAATGTAATATATCTAGATAAATAACAATTTTCAATTAAACTTGCCTAAGAATATTGTATTCTGCGATATTATATAAATATTAATATGAAACCTACCAGTGGAAGAGTGGATAACACCGCCAAACGCCGGCAGTTTGATCCGGTTCTTCGAATTCCAGCAAAATGACTGTCTGTATGGGCATTTACTTCATGTGTTACTTGAATATTAAACTTCCCTTAAAAAATCTTCCCCGAATGATGATATTCCTTCTCTTTGCAGATTGTATCATAATCAGCTAGACAAATAACGATCAACGGGCATTTCTTTTATGTGCTTCATTTTGATAATCAATGTATTAAGTGGTTATTTAAAAGGCTTCGTGTTTGACTTCAAGCAAGAGCACTCAACTCGTTTCTTGCTCAAGACGCTTTTCATTCGAGGTCGGATATTAAACAGGCAGGAATGTTCCCTCTCCGTTTAATAAGCATATTTCGCCACATTTTTGGCAATCAATTTAATGTTAACTGCATATATTAGGCCAATTTCACTGTCCCAAAATCTCGTCTATCTTCTGCAAATACACTTATTTCACTATCGGCGAAGCGGCTCTGCATTCTAATACATAAGGTACTTGATATAGATATAGATATATATAGCATAAAAAATGAAAGCAATTTACGTAGCAGTTAAATCATTCAGATTATAAGATATTTCTCCCGCCTTCCAGCATGCCTTCGTGGTGTAATGGCAGCACACTCGGCGCATATTCGAAAGGTGCAGATTCAAGTCCCAGCGAAGGTATTGCTGGTATTTCACGTCTCCAGCTTCAAAATAACCTAATGGTTCCACAGTGGCGCCCGAACTAAAAGATGGTGGATCATGATTCTTCACCACCAGGATTTGGCGATTGAATCCCCTAATCCCCAGTTGCCTTTAAAAGGGGGAAGTATATAAGGTATATCTCTCTCGTGCCAGCATGCCTTCGTGGTGTAACGGTTAGCGTACTCGGCGCTTATTCGAGAGGTCCAGGTTCGAGTCCCGGCGAGGGCATTGTTCATTTTTCTTGCATTATTCTTCTAAATAGCCTAAAGATTCTACAAGATAGTTAAAAGATTTCAAAATAAGTTTTAATTTTTGGATTTAATCTAATTACTAAGTTATAAAGCTTTCAAATACGTTAAAAAAACTAGTAATTATTTACCAATACTTTATGGAGCTAGAAGTCAGACTACATTACCTAAAATTAATTGTGTATTGTAATTGTGTATTGTGTTGTGTTAACTCTTTATTCAATTTTTTATTTATTTATTTATTTATTCAGTAAACAGAATTGCTTTATATATATATATATATATATAAAACAAAATTAAGTTTTCTTCGTACACTAAAAAATTTATCAAGATTTCCCCCCCCCCATTTTACAGGACCATTAAATTTCTCCTTTTACAGGACTATTCATTAATAATTAAATAATAATGAATGGATAATAATGCAAGTTCAGTTGATCAAGAGCTGTTGTATCTTTCAAAGTTTTTGCTTTGGTCTAAAATTATTTTCCTCCACCTTTCGTGCCAGGGCCCCTTTGGCGTACCCCTTAACTACGCCCTTGGAAGAGGTTTCCACTTTCAGTACAGCGCAGGGGCCCTCAGCGAGGTAGGACTGATGTAGCTTCGAATAATACAGGAGTTTCGACTTCTATTTCCGTGGGATAGCTACCCATTTCGGAAACCTAGCGAGCAGGTGTGTGTCACATGGTTTCCGGCGAGGGGATAGCAGCTGACAAACGCTTTTCTCTCATTGGTTACCGCTGCAGGTGCGACCGTTGCGCTCCGCTTTCTGTGGGGGCAAGGCTTTGAAAACGCATTCGGTCAATATCTCTAAAAGAAACAAAACACATGGCTAAAGTGCTGTCCGATCGGATTGCCCACGCGATTCCTGTGTGGACAGTGGAATCTTTGCTGTCATGTAACTCTGCTCAGGACTGTGGGGTGAGTGGCAATTCTGTCATTTTTTACGCTTGTCATGATTATTTCTATGCCTCCTTTCGTCACCGAAAATGAAGGGCTTCTGTAATTACTATAACAGCGCTCTGTTGCTGTCAAAACATGCAGCAGTAAACCTTTGCGTGCACATTGAGCAATAGCATTATTAACAGACAATATTGCTTACTCCTATTTCTTTGCGTAGCCATTGCATGCGATTTTTCATATTGCAATTAGCCTGAAACTTAATTTTTTTTTGTAATATTATATTCATAAAAGCTACAAATATCAGAGATATTGCAACTATGAATTAACTTTTTACATGAGGAATGCAGTTAATGTTAAAATTTTACTACCTGCTTTCACCGTTCTCATCTAATTTAAAGAACAGAGGATAAACAAAGATTTGTCTGTTTACATACATATTTATTTTTAAAAAATTTAAACGAATTTAAGCTTATGAATTAAAAAGTTAAAAATTCATGTGATAGTAATATACACAATTTATGAAAATCATAACAACTTTCTGCACTGATAGTAGAAAAAGGAATAGCAGAAATTATAAAACTGAAAAAGGAATAATAATTTAGATTTAAAACACAAAATGAAAAATTATAAATTTTGTATTATTACCACATCACAAAACTGCAACCTCTGTTACAGAAAGCTTTCTGTTCTGCCCTGTATGTATATGAGGATATATGAAGAAGTCTGAAACGGTGGTGCTCCAATCTGAGAACTCCCTCATTTAGCTCGCTTACCTCTTGGCAAATGAATTCATTCGAATCAAACGTCATTAATTACCGGTAACTATTTTGAAATATTAATTTCGGTGGTTTATATGTAAAGAAATTAAAAATTAATAAGGAAATAAAGAGATATAAAATGCCCAAAATTGTGTTTCCAAAAATTACAAATGATATTGAGGGTTTTTTTTTTTTTTTTTTTAGCCCAGAGGGCTAAAGTCGCAAAACGGAATTTTGATGCATTTAACTATAAACAGCGAATCACCTTTTTAAATTGTTGCCACCAAATATTATCACCCTGTATTATATTTAAAGAAATTAAATAATGAAGATTCTGCATGAATGTATGTATGTTTCTCGCATCGTGAAAAAACGACGGCACCTAAAGCCATCAAATTTTGAATAACGTAATCCCCCACCCAAACATGGACACCTGGAAGCCTGAAATTTGAATTTCGAATTTGTTTTATTATCTATTTCATATTTTGTAAAACTTTAACGAATTTCTGATTTATAAACACAACAATTTCAAAGCGAGTAATGGCAACACTATGCGGGGGGGGGGATATTTATCTCCAGCGCGCGAAACTGTCTATTGGAAATTCTAAATATATGCTGTTTTTAAATGTTTTATGGTATTGCTGTTAAATTGAATTTTACGGTTTAAGTGCGAAGAACATGATATTTACTAAATAAGGGTAAATTAGTAATAATAAATATTTACTAAATAAATATTTACTAAATTTACTAAACAAAACGTTTGGCCCCATTTGGGCGTAATATAAAATATGAAAACTTTCAGATTTTCTTTTCGATAATGTTTATTTAAACCGTTTATTTTATTTATCAGCCCCAATCAATTAGTAATAAAAAGAAATAAATAATTATGTTCAATATGAAAAATAATTTATTTAAATATCTTTTATTAATGATCTCATGCAAAGAGAATTAGCTGTAATGTAAACAGTTAGGGTTAGTGAGCAATTTTGATGAACTTAGTAACACTTGTTTATCAATAAGCAAAGAATATATTTTTTAAATTCCTACTATTAGCTCACACTCTCCCGATATCTTGTTCAAATTTTCAATCATTAACAAAATACTTTTTATTCATCTACTCAAGTTCAAATACATTTTTTGAAGCTTGTATTGGATGACACTTGATGTTAATAGTTTTTTCACATATTAAAAAAAATTTCGGTATTTTTAAAATTTTTCTTTGTTGACTTAAGTAGAAATTGACTTTAAAAAACATTTTTATTTAAATAATTATTAATTAATTAATTTTCAATCGTTAATGAAATACTCCACTTAAGCTCAAATACATTTTTTTAAATTGTATTGGATGACACTTGATGTTAATACAGTTTTTTTCACATATTAAAAATTGTTTGGGGTTTTTAATTTTTTTAATTGACCTTTGTAGGCATTGACTTTAAATTTTTTATTTAATTAATTATTAATTAATTAATTTTCAATCGTTAATAAAATACTTTTTATTGCATCCAACTCAGATTCCAAATACATTTTGTAGTGGAACTTGTAGTGGATGACATTTGATGTTAATACAGTTTCCTCACATATTAAAGATTTTTAAAATTTTTAATTCATTTTTTTTCTTTGTTAACCTAAGTAAGAATTGACTTTATTTTTATTTTATATATAATATATATTGCTTGTTATTGACCACGTTCTTGATGGTTCGCAAGAAAGAACTCAAAACAGTAAATTAAATACTCACCAGGAAAATACAGAATTGTTACAAATGATTTATAGAGTTTCAAAAAGCTGTGTTTCATGAAATTGAAAGCATAAAAAAAAAAAAAAAAAAAAAAAAAGACTGCATGAAATGACATCAATTCGAATTTTAGTTCTAATCTTATTCTCAATGAGTGCTCCTCTGATTTAATCCAAGTGGTAAGTCAGTTCTGTCCAACCGCGTCGTAATACTAACCCGTAGATGGTCACCAGACAAACTATAATGAGAAGCTTTAGTTCCTCCTTAGTTTATGTTGTTGACAGTTGAAAACAGTCTTTAACAACCTCCAGAAGAGAAAAAAACTACTGAACTTGAGGTCGGGTGATTTTAGTGGCCATCTGAATAACGCTAAATCATTTTCTCTGTATCAACCAATTCAGTTACAGGTGGAACGATGAAACATACAATTTGCTGGAACATGACATTTTCTGAATCATCTTACATTCAAAGAAATAACCAACTGCAACATATCAAAATACGATATACGTATGACATTATTCTCAAAGGAAAAGAAAGGGAAGCATATACTTTTATCTATGAAATAAAAACAGTTTTGGTGAATCTCAGCGATAGAATGACAGTTTTCCATGCTGTTATATCCGAATATTGTGAAGATTTATCATGCTGCACAAATGAAACGTCATCTCGTCGCTGAATACTAGAGAAGCAGAATAATTGCCGTCATGCAATAATTCTTGCATGCAGTTATAAAATTCACATCATTTGACATCAACCATCTGGATATTTATGTTGCAACATCTGCTGCTGTCTTCCAGGGAAACGGCGGGAAGTCAAATTAGCGACCAATGCAATTACTAGTTGATTTTTGTGGACTTCTTTTTCCACTCTTTCGTTTAGAAACGTTAGAATTTTCTAAAATCTAGCCTTGATGCAGGCAATTAATGTTCTTAAACTATCGATACCACTGACTTCTATGACCATTACATTATAACGCCATTATTCTAAGCCATTACTTTCTAACGCGAAGTTCCTTAATATGAAGAAGATTACCTTATAATTTTGTATTTAAAGCTTACTTAGGAATCTAAAGGAACTCAGCCTTATCCTAAAAGCAAATTTGTATTGCTATCAATATTAGTCTAAAGTTTCTGTGTATTACCTTTACTTATTAAATATTATGTTCTTCTCACTTAAACCATAAAATTCACTTCAACATCAATATCGCAAAATAATTTTAAAATGAGCATATCTTTAGAATTTCCCACACACGATCTCACGCTCTGAAGATAATTTTTTTTTTTCGTATAGTGTTGCCATTGCTCGCTTTGAAATCGTTGAATTTGTTAATCAAAAACTCGTTAAAGTGTTGCAAAATATGAAATCTATAATTAAAAAAATTCGAATTCCAAATTAAAGCTTCCAGATTGCCCACATTCGGTGGAAGATTACTTTATTCAAAACTGGAAGGCTTTTACGTTGTTTTATTACAATGCAATAAACATACATACATTTATGCAGATTCTTCATTTTTAAATTTCTTTAAATAAATATAACAAAGGCCATAATATTCGGTGGCAACAATTTGAAAAGTGAATAAACGTTTATAGTGAATCAGCGCAATATGCCAAAACGGAATTAATAATCCTTCTGGGCAAATTGCCCTTTGGACTAAAAAGGTTTGCAGATCCTTTAAGTTAACAGAGAACACCCTATTTAATGTATTTAAAACCATGGTGCATGTTACTTCGCCCCTTACTTGGCCTCCTCTTCCTTTTCCTTAGTTGGAATGCACTGGGTAATGAACTTCAAAGTCAAGAAACATACTCTTCCGCTCCTTACTTAAGCCTCTCCCTCCAGATAAATACACAGCGTGGAGCAGCCAGTTTTTAGCTGTTACTTTGCCGCCGAATAGTTTGGTTGCAGTCCCCTCCCCCCGGACGGAGTGTAAACAAGCATGGCAATGACGCATAAAAGGCGGAAGACTTGGGCGGAAGAAGTCCTCCCTTGAGTGCAGAAATGATGTAAGTCATATGAAAAAAGCGGTGCTTTGAAAAATTGTAGACCTCCAGATGTACGGGCTAACTGACCCACTCGGATATTCGATATTTTTGGATAATTTGGTTGCAGTTTTATTTTCTGACTAATAAAGGATTTGGTGTTCTGACAAAATACGAAGAACGGCTAAACAAGGTAAATATTTATTGCAAGCCTCGAGCGCAAGCGATCCTGTGAAATAAATGAACAGCTACGTAATGAATGCATTCAATAACACTGAAATAATACCATAACAACAACAAACACAGCAATTTTATCTTTACTATTTGCTGCGTGTAATTTAGTTAATTTGTAGAGACACTAGGTTATTTGGAAGCGGGAGACATGAAAAATGTGCTATGCCTTCGCCGGCACTAGAAACTCTCGAATACGCGCCGAGCGTGCTGACCATTACACCAAGAAGGCATGCTAAGAAGGCTGGAAAAATACCTTATAAATTTTTATTAATTTATTTATTTAAAATTAAATCTTATGCGCACGAAGCA